GTAAGTTTATCAGGGGACACTGTGGCATCTTCGTCTGGTTTTGCTGGCGTTGGTGTCGAACTGAGCGCTAGATCTGAGGCAGCACTGACCGACTGGATCCCCATTGACAGTCGGTTATATGTTGTTAGGTTAGAAAGTTCCATCAAATTACGAAATCGATGTGAGAAACGATGTCTTTTCGTCATCTCCGCCTATGCTCCGACAGATTGCAGCCCGTACCACCGAAAAGTATAAGTGAGCATTGGTTGCAATGGCATGACGCCATGAAAATGGCGAGTAAAGTTGCCAACGGCTTCGCGAAACATCCCGCTTATAAGCTCTGGGTTTTTTCAGACTCCTTACAACTCATTAAAACCCGTCAGTCTACTTCGGGTGACTGCGAGTTTGACCATAAACGAAGACTGTTACCTAATACAGTTGTGCAGAGCTTGTGTAAGGGCCGAGAAGCCTGGTGGTCGGAGAGTGCCAATGGGTTGGAAGCAGCAGCTGCATCTGGTGACTGTCGGGAGCTCTTTCACCTCATCCGAGCCACTGGCAGCAAGAAGTCTGGTGTGAGTGAGACGACCTGTGGAGATTATGGGATGACAATCACAAACATCTGCTGACGCCTTGGACGATGGGCAGTTTTTCAAGGAGCAGTTCAACTTGTCTGTTCCTCAGCAACATCGATCAGACTGTTCTACCCTCCATGACCTGTGAAAACTGATCCACTCAACGAGGAGGAAGTTTACAAGGAACTCGAACTCTTAAAGTGCTATAAATCACCAGGCCAGGAAGACTTACCTCCGGCCCTTTTAAAGATGGTGGCAACTTTATAGTTATAGAGCTGAGTTATTTACAAACGTCTGGCAATTTGAAAGTGTTCCAATATCGTGGGATGAGTCGATAGTTGTTCCTACTTTTAAAAAGGGTTCACGTTATTTTTGCAACAACTATTGGGGGATAAGTTTACATCCGACTGCGTCCAAACTATTAGCTTCTGTCATATTTCGTAGATTGTTCAAAAACCCACAAAGATTGACTCGCGAGGAGCAGGCTGGTTTTTGTTTTGGTCGAGGATGTAGTGATCATATATTCACCCTCCGCCAAATGTTAGAACACCGTCATACTTATCACAAGCCAGCAATCGTAGTGTTTCTTGATAATAAGACTGCCTTCCATTCGTTGGACAGGACTGTTCTCTGGGATTGTCTATGCAAGAAGGGTGTGCCAAAGAAGTTTATTACCGTCTTAGAAGCCCTATATACAAACGCCTCAGGTAGAGTGAGGGCATACAACCACCTTTCTTCATTTTTCCATTCAAGCAGTGGGGTTAGGTTGGGTTGCCCAATCTCACCATTCCTCATCAATTTTGCTACCGACGACGTTCTGGAAACAGCTCTGATGGATGTAGATAATGGCAGTGTGGTTCTACTATCTGGAGAAAGACTTCGCCACCTTGAGTATGCGGATGAAATTGTCTTACTGTGCGATGATACCCAAGCCATGCAATCCGCATTTAATCAGTTGGTAATCAATGTCCATAGGTGTGGTATGTGCTTTGCACCTTCGAAGTGCAAAGTACATTTACAAGACTAGTAGGACGTTAATCCTGCATTCACCCTGTGTAGTGAGTGGATAAAAGTAGTTGAGAAGTTCGTTTATCTGGGTGGCTGTGTAAGTGCTGGTGATGGCGTGAGTGATGAAATCGATCCATGTATAGTGAAAGCCAGAGTGGCTTTCTTCATAAAAATAAACGTAACTTATTTAACTGAAAGGATTCTTTCTGGTTATATTTTTGCTAACTGAACTGTTTCCTCTATTATTATTATTATTATTATTATTATTATTATTATTATTATTATTATTATTATTATTATTATTATTTCAATCTCATACACTAATTTCTGTTCGTTATTATACGCACTTTACATTCTCTAACTTTTTACAATATCATTGCTATTGTGTGGCGCATATGTATTTGGTGCCCCCTTGTACCAATGTTTATGTGTTCAAATAAATAAATTCATCTTGACTTACTGAAGTAAAGGAATACGATGATCTGATAAGATGGTAATACACACGCAGGAATGATGGGATAAAGATGATAGTAAAGAAATTTCGGCAAAGTTATACGACAGATTTACCATTGTTTTCCTAGATGTACCAAAATATGGAGTACGCAAAACTACGGAAGTCATGTGAAGAACATCGACATAACACGTGAATGTGTGTGTCCATATATTATATAACTAACTTGAAAATACAGATAAGATGTAGCACCTAATAATTTAGCCATGTACACATAAGGTAAATGTTGGCAGAATTAGAATGAATTGGTAATGCTAGTGTATCAGACGTTCATCTGCCAAGTTGATTGCGGTTTAAAATACATACACTCACATGATTTATAGTACAAAAATGTCAATTGTAAATAACAGGGAAGTAGAAATATTGTAGTCTTCTTAATTAAAGGTCAATCAATTCATATAAATAAGAATAAACATAGTAATATAACACATTAATGAAGCAATATTCCATAAAAACATCAATTTAAGCAGAAGTTATTGGGCTTGTAATTTTTAGCATTGATACTAGTTAATACATCTTGACTTTAATACAGGTAAGAAAAGTATTAATTAGAACTAGTGCAATGTTGAATAAAATCCCCAATTATGTTTTATATATGTTATTGATAACAGGATTTTACACTATTATTAATCAAAATATATCACAGTAGTATACTGTTATCATTACTAATTTTCTTTACACTTGATGATAAGATGAACCTCATTTATCATGAAATTTAGATATACGTGAATTAACAGTATATATTATACTTAGAGTCTTCGCTAGATAATTCATTCATTAATAGGACATGTAATTTAAATCTATCAGTGTTCGCTGTTAAAAATGAGAATTTTTTCTAACTGAAATTTGTTAAGAAGTTCAAAGTATCACGATATGAACTTAATTCCTTAAGATTTATTAAAACAGATTTATAGATAAGTGCATTTTTAATGCATTAAAAATAAGAGTCAAGACGAAGACATAGTGTTACATACATTAGTACTAAAAATTGTACTTCAGTTATCGATTTTTAAACTACGAACGTTTTTTTTCTATTATAACTAAGACATATTTATAAATATGTATCAAGTTGTATATATAATGATGAAATAAACATTATACTTTCCCCTCCTCCAGGTTTTCAAGTGAAATAAACAAAATCAATTGAACTGAAATTGAAATCTGGAGCCAAATTCATAAATTGTTGAACCAGATTATCATCAAACTTTAAACTGTAATACAATAGGGAAACTAAAAAAGTATGCACTAAAACAATACTGTGAAAGAAAAGACGGAAGAGCAATACAGTTAACAATAAATTAGTAATTGAACCAAAAATACTTTATGGTAAGAGGTCTAGTTCTCGACGATCGATCTTTGAGTAAATACAACATTTCTCTCGGCAATCTGATTCAAGCTGTTTACAGGAACTGTTTCTTATCTACTCTGAAGAATTGGCTTACATCAAGTCACGAAACGTCAGAAACACAATTTTTCTACTCATTGGGATATAGAAAAAATATGTTTATTAAGTTCGTCTTACTTTTGTGAAGAATGTAAACGAAAACTACAACAGAACACCCACTGGCTTCTATTTTTACCCATGTCAGCTAATTTCTCAAGCCAATAAATAAGTTGAACTACCTATGGGATCCCAAATAGAGAGTAGTGCTATACTGACATTCCCAATCTTAAATATCTCATGTTTATAGCACGTCATAAAATGACCAACTGTCTGCTCGTTCCACCCAGTCCCAGAGTCGAGAAATAATGCGGAAGTTGATTAGCCTTTTTAGCAGTCATTTGACGAACTATGACTTAAGTAACATTACCAGTAAAAGCAGCCAAACGTGATAATCAGCTTGTGAGTTTTAAATTTATCAAAACAGATGTGTTGTAAATAAAAAATCCCACAATAGTGAAGCGTAATTAAATCTTTTGGACTCCTGGCTTATCAGATGCACATATCTTTAAAAAAACAAACAAACAAAGAACCTACTAAAATCTCAGCAATTAGTTTAACATTGTAAAGACTTTTTAAAAGTCATGTTTAAAGCAAGAATGTGATTTTCTTTTTACCTAATAATGATATTTTTCCGATTCTTCATAGTGAGTGAAACAATTATAGTCCTAGGATTTATTATGATAGAAGAAATCAGTTTCCAAATAAAGTCGTTTATTTAATGGTAATTATTAAGTATGAATGATACTTTTCATTATCAGCTTCTATAAATTAAGAAATTGGTAGAAAAACTCAAGAGGGGGGATCATTATTCATTCCATGACTAAATAATCACAAATTTGTATAAAATAATTTGATGCCACTTAAATTTTATTGATATTCCATAACAAATATTATCCTGTTGAAAATTATTTATGTAACAGATGCAACTGAATAAACGTAGTAAATTAAATAATGGAATTAAGTAACCAGATATCCAGATTCATGTACATAACTTTAAGGAGAAAAACATTTCGATCGGACACAGTGATTGATATTTTTTCTCTATTTGACTATCCAAAAACTGGATTTAACTGAATACAATTTCAAACTGAAACATGATGACTAAAAAAAAAAGAAAAACCCAGCATAGTAATCATGTTAGGTGTTACACAAAAAAGGGTCACTCATTATTCATCATACAAATCAAACAAGATAAATTTTACTTTTTTTTAACGATTTCATTATCAAAACTGTTATTAGGATGTTTTCTAAAAGAAGAGGAGAATTTGAAGTTGTTTACAGAAACAAACAAACTGCTGGTAAAAAGTAATTATGAATGTACTAGTGAATTGTTGTCTATTTCCTGATATTTACGTCAGGCATAAAATACTAAGACAGTGGGGAAAAAAAGCTAAAACTTAATCCGAATTTTCGATTAATAATCATTGATTACATTCAACAACAAAAAAAGGTGATATAATCGAAATGGAAAATATGATTTACTCACTGCATGACTGAATAGAATTGATTGAACTAAACAATAAATAAAATCACTCATATTCGGATTTGAATTGGCTAGTAACGTCTCAAAATCCGGTAGTAGACTGGGACCATTCACAGTTGAAAGATTTAAAGACGTCCTATTGGACTGTGAATTCAAAGTAAGTGTTTGATCATTATTACAAGATAAATAATCCGTAGCTGGAATTGTAATCGACGACGCTGTTGATATTGTAGGTACTTGAGATGTGGAATCAGACAAGGTATGATTATTGTCACATAATACAGGTGTATTTCTTGTATTCCTTGGAGATATTGGGTGTGAAACAGTAGGTGATGGTAAAGAAGAGGTAACATTTCTTAACAATTGTAGCAGTTGAGCATTTGATGTTCGTCCAGTAGGAACTAGAGATGGTTTTAAAAAGTTGTTCTGATGATTTTGATGTGCAGATAAATTTGAGGCTACATTTGAAAGCAGACTAGTTAATCCATGATTAGGTATAATCGGAGGTGGTTGAATAATGTTATTTGACGGTATACAACATGCTGGATTACTCATTGTGTTCATTATATCCAATTTCGATGGGTCAATAGGATTAGATGTCACTGTCAAACTACTAGTGGTATTTGTGTTTGTAGTGATGGTAGACGTACTACTACTATCAGTTGAAGTAATTGTAGTAATTGGTGAATGTAAATACATAGCATATAACCTGTGAACTCCGCCAGTTTCAAAATTAATCCAATAAATAAATTAATGAGTGAACAAGGGAAATAATCAATAATTACACAACTTAGTTTGTTGGAGATAACCTTTACTCTTGTAGTTCACACTCCGTGATCATAAATAATTTAGGTAACAGAGCGCAATTTAATCAGTAATTATGGAATTACGTTGGATATAGAATTGGTATTATAGGTTTACAGAGCAATAAAGTGGATTTGTTGTATTTGTGAGTACGTAGGAGTTTTAGAAAAACTGACGCCGTCAACAACTTGTGAAAATCGGTGCTTACTTTATTTTTATATCTATCTAAAATTAAAGTTTTGGATTAAGAAAAAAAGACCAATTATTGATAACTATTTAAGCATAAAAACGAAAGAATGAACGTGAAACAATCGATTATTGAGTCATTCACTAAGCAATGAACCAACGAAAAAACAAAGCTCAGGTGAAAAGTATATACGAGGAGAGAGAGGGAAGTAAACTTACAAAGCATATGAAAAAAGTGTGGTTTGTGAAGAGTAAGAGAGAGAGAAGATCAAAAGTGCATAACACTTCAATCTTGGATTGTTTTAAAAAAACCTTACCTACCCAAAGGTTCATATGATCTTTTCGGATCATCTGAGATGGGCATGCTTTAAGTACATACGCGTGTCTAATTTTTGTGTGTGTAAGTAGTATAAGTGAAGAGAAAAGCATGAGTTCATTTACTGATCTCACAAGGTGGTAATACACACTTTTGGAAAAAAAATATACAAAAGCAAATAAAAGAACAAACAAACAGAAAGATAATGTTTAAATGAATGAGCTTGAGAGAAATAAGTGATTTGAAAGAGTAAACATTATAAAGTTGTGATTATGACTATTATCATAGAAACCTTGATGAGAGTTCGCATATTTGGTACAGGGATATATATTTATTGATACTGGTTACAACAATATAAGTAGTAATTAATCGCACCAAAGAAATAGGATTCATCTTACGCCTAAGTGATATACATTAAAGTTAATAATAATAGTTTCATTCATTCCTATAAATATTATTACGGTAATGGATTTCAGCATTAATTGTGCAATATTTAAAAAAAATCTCTTTGACATACGTTCAAACAGTAATTATTCGGAACTATATTTTACAAATATTTTTTTTTCATTCATCAATTTCTGGGACTTAACTTCGATGACGACAACTTCCTATCAGTGTTCAAGTGCTACAAGGATTATTTTTCATCCATAAGATGTTAAATGCATGGACTCCAATTTATTCTTCTAGTTCTTTTTTGTTGAGTTAACAAGAAACATATGTCAACAAATGCAGCGTTACGGATGGGATTTCCAGTATTTAGCATCCCGATACTTAATTAAAATGCAAAATTATTCGTTACTAAAAAGTCTAAAACAGAAAGGTAAATTGTGATAGGTGGACCAAACGTCGGAGTTGGGTGCCGTTAGTTACTATGTTTAGTCATATCCCATAAAATTTTCATTCAGAGATGGATAGGAGTCAATATAAAAACACCTGGTGGTTCATCAATTCAGTTTACTGGTATAGAATGTCAAGGTAAATCCCAATCAGTCGCATACATAAATAAAACTAGGATAAACATATCCGTAATCTTTGTATGGAAAACGGTAATCACGATGATATGAAGCATAAATAAACAGATTCTTTAGTTCACATCCGAGATAAAGTACCGATCACTAAAACTTCACATGTTTGTTATTACGCAATAGGTAGTTTGAGATCGTAAGTTAATGAAACTGCAAATTAATCTTTTACTCCTACATAACAATTCTCAATAACAAATTACACCTAAGATAATTAGAATGAAAAACCGCTTCTAACTGTTTGTTAAAACATAACTTTAGGAATAGGTTTTACTTGATCATTCAGAGATATAGCGTGGAAACCTAAAATTAAACAGGAGAATAATTCTGTGAAATATTACTCTAATATATTATTATTCAGTGTTGATTGTTGGCAGATCATGTTACAGAACCAAATAATTTTAATCAAACATAATAAACGGTTTTTCCGAAAGTGAAACGAATTCAGTAAGTTTATTGTCGACAACATCCATATTACATTCGGTATAGGAAAACAATACCATGAAGAGAGGTAATTTAAACAGATACGTGAAATGTTTATTTCTGTCACAGGATCTTAAACCAATACTTCTCCAAATTAACAGTCTACCTATTCTGGTAACAAGTGTACTTCTTATTTTTCCATATGGATACATAAAATCTGTCACCCCTACCGGGACGGTAAGATTAAAATGAGATAAACCGCATAGTACATAGTTTATGTAAAATTAAATAAACTTACCGAAAATAATTAAATGTTTCATTAAATGAATAATAGTCCAAATCAGTAAAAATTTATGGTCTGAGAAGAAAAATTAATCCATCAGAGTAGAAATTGTTAACTGTCATGATCTATGTCAGTTCGCCTATATCAACAAAATATATGTACACACGTATATATTTAAGGACTGTGTTTTAACCTGCCTCTAAGCTGGTTACTATACAAATGCCTCAAAAGAGCAGGTCAACTTTAGGTGACAGGCTAAGCCGCCCCTGATATGCGAGCCAGTTCACACAGGTGAGTGTGAGATAGACAGTCATCTATTAACAGCGATATGCGGGCTAGCCAAAGAGAGATGGCCTGAACTCTGACTCCTATTTGTCGTAACAACCGCAAACAGGCCAGACTAATGTCAAATAAGACCTTAATGTGGGGGCGTGTTGGTCGTTAGATTACGCTCTTACATGTCAGCTAGGTAGGTTGTGCAAATATATCAAACACCCCTGCTTGGCTAGACAGACATATAACACATGGACTTCTTGGTGGCCTTTAGCATAAATAAGTTAGGGCTATAATGGCCTCAATTAACAGTTCACAAAGTTCAGTTAACATTCCGATCTGTGTAATTGGCTATAGGATGGACCATTAGGATTAGGGGAGGGGGTGGAGTCAAGGCCATTTAAGGAAAAACACTAGACATCTTAGTCGATTCCGAAAATAATCGTACAATTGATTGTGATTTATGCATTATGCGATTATTTTGTAGTTTATCATGTAGTTAAGATAATGAAAAGGACATTTTTCAGTTAGATTTTAATAGGGTGGTGAGTACTCGTCTTTTTATTATAAAAATAATATGATTTATTAGGCAAACCACGGATTAGTTAAGATTTTACCCTACATTCTATTGGTTGCTTATCTTACAACGGAAAAGTTAAAATGATTTTGACAGTTTTATCAAGCTATTTACAATTTTTGTCAGCCGGGAACGTTCTGACTAGTTTCATGATTGTGAATGCAATAATTAGTAATATACATAGAATTCAAGTGGGTGAATATGTTGTTTATACTAGACAGGTAATGAACAAAATCCCCTAATGTTTATATATGTATGTATTTATATCCTCTTTGATGTCAAGATTTTAATAAGAACTAATCATAGAACTTGTGAGCTCCTGATAATTGGCGTATGATGAATGGATTGTATCGTTTAACAAGTGTATGGTCCACCAGTTAGCTCGAAACATTTGTGTTATATAAATCTCTACTTTTATTTTATTTTATTTTTGGCAAATAGAAATCCTCAAAATGAGCAAAAGTGAATTTATGTAACATCAAACCTTGACTCTTAAAACGATCTTGTAACTTATCCAAAAATATTGGTGAAATATAACCTGTGACGAATGAGACCATTTGACTGGAAAATCGGAAGAGAGCCTTCGTCAAGAATTAACAATAACTTGACAACCAGGGAGTAGGTTTTTCGTCCTAATTTAGGACTCATCAGTTGTACGTATCTCTAATCTTCGTAGGGTCGAACTGAGAAATTTTATGCCTTGGAGAAAGCACATCTTTAAACTTTAGATTCATGACCCAGTAGTCTGTTTCCGACTTTGTGATAGCGACAACCATTCAACGCTTTTTCTGATACGCTTTATCACTATTAACCATCAAAAGCCTGGAAACCCTGGACGGCCGTTTCGTCGCAGGATCAAATTTCTTAGCAGTGCTTACCCACGACTCTGTATGCGGGATTCGAACCCAGGATTGAGGATTCCCATACTAGGACGAAACGGCCAACCAGTGCTTCCAGGACTTTAGTGGTCGGTCCATGATCTCAATGCAATTCAACAATCTCCACAACCCCAAACTGAATGTTTAATAATTGCCGTTGATAGAAACACTTGTCCATTAAATTCATTATTATCATCTTATACTTTGATTTCATTTATTTCAAACCATGATTTCCGGCAAGTATCACATCGTTCCCATGACTTTTAATGCTAAAACAGAACGAATAACTGCTCTTTTTTTATACCGACTTCGTAATGGTCATGTGATTAGTTCGAGGTAACTTCATGTAAAGCCTATAAATCGCCGTTAAGTGACTGCATGTTTCGGCATATATACATATCAGTATAGGGTTGTGGAGATTGTTAACTTTAGATTGATATCATGAATGGATGAATGTTAGGTCACTATCGAAAACCTGGAAGCATTGGACGGCCGTTTCGTCCTAGTATGGGACTCAGGAGTGTGCATCCGCGATCTCGCACGCGGGAACCTAACCCAGGACCTTCGGTCTCGCTTGCGAACGCCTAGCCTCCATATCAGTGGGTCGGCATCCAACAGTGTTAATATCTAACTTCAACCAATCCACGATGTTGCATGACCACCCACCACTGTCTTCAGCAAGTAACTGCCTCACAACAGACACGACTGAACTCCATCGGCCACGGTTTCTCACTAGAACTCCAGGAGATCTATCTTGAGGCCAGTCACTAGTGTGCACATGATAATTATCGGTATAATTTTGTGGAGCTCACGATTCCTTTGTTCAGTTCTTATTCAAAACTCGATATCAAAGAGGATAGAAAGAGGATTTCTTATATAAATCAAGGTAAATAACTATCAATGAAATTTTATGTTGAATATAATGATGGCATGTGTT